CCATCACCACCATCCATTCTAGAACATTCTCCAGCGTCACCCCTGAATGAACCCATATCCCCTTAGTCGCCGCTCCCCATGTCCCCCAACCCCTCTACCCCAGGCTGTCACCAGTCTGCTCTCGGTCTCTGGATTGCTTATCCGGACATGTCTTAGGAACAGATTTCAACATTTTACCTTCTCTTTTGTGTTCCCTCAGCCCTGCCCACACTCATGTAAACAGTCCCTTCGTAAAACTCTTTTTAGTTAAACCCTCTAAGTGGGCCACCTTGTCCTGCCAGGACCCTGGCTGATTCACTTGTGTGCCAATAGAATGTGAAGAATAAGAGGACAGAGAATAGGAGGAGACGAGACCTTATGGGGTCCCAGCCTGGGCCACTAGGTCATGGGTAATGTCATTACCAAAGATAAGAAACACAGAATTAGAGCATTTTGAAGGTGAGGAGACAATGGGTGCTGTTGGAATATAGCAGGTTCAATTTGCTTGCAGGGGTTTTGGGGAGAATGTCTACCAGGCAGGTAGACACATGAAAGTAGAGTTCAGGGATGCAGGTAGAACCGTTAAGCTCTTGCTACCACCACCAAAGAGGCCGAGCCCGGGACAAAGAGAGACTCTACAAATACCTGATTGCTCCTTTGTGCCCCTTGAAGAATGTGAAGATGTCAGCACCCCAGGGGAGCATCCCCAACCACCTGCCCCACCCTCCACAGGCCCAGTGGTGGTGTCTTCAGGAACATTTCCAATGCCCTTCCCTTTCCCAGTACTTCTACCTTTTCAGGCCTGTCTCCCCACTGATTCTTCACAACAGAGGGCTGGCTCTGGCCTGACCACAAGGAGAATCATATTTGCAAAGAGACAGGTAAAGATGACAAATTAGATGGATAAAACCATAACCTCTCAACAGATGTCTTAGTCCATTTCATGCTAATATGACAGAATTCCACAGACAGGGTAATTTACAATGAACACAAATTTATTTCTCACGATTCGGGAGGCTGAGATGTCCAATATCAAGTTGCCAGCATCTGGCAAGGGCCCTTGTGCTCTGACATCCCATGGCGGGTGGTGGAAGGTGGAAATGCAAGGGAGGGGGTTGGGGGCTGAACCCATTCACTTATCAGGAGCCCACTCCCCAGATGTAATGATGACAGTAATCCATTTATGAAGCAGAGCCCTCATGACCTGATCACCTCTCAAAGGTCCCGCCTGTTAGCATCGTTGCATTGAGGATTAAGTTGTCAAAACATTAACTTCCGTGGGCACATCCAAACCACAGCACCACGATAGGGCCCCTTGTGCATTAATAACACTTCTCAGTCAGTATGGAGTGGGAAGAAGATTGTAGAGTAATCTTCGGAGAAATCCTAACACTTCAGGAGCAGGCAGAAGAAGAGAAAGCCATAAAAGAGCATGGCAAAGAATCCATCAGAAGAGATACAGGAAGAAATCCAGAAAGGAGAAATTGTGTGGAATGGAGAGAAAAGCCGTTTCAAGATGGGGGTAGTCACTTGTACCAAATGTGGAAGAAAGGTCAGAGACCTTGAGATGGGAATTGTATGCACCAGATTCATCAATTAGGAAGCTGTGTGAATACCTTCAGCAAGGGCAGTTTCTCCACTGGAGGGGTGTTTGGTACATTTTATTTCTTTCCTGGTGGGGTTGGGGAGTGAAATTTCAGTTTTTTAAAGTGTGAGTGAAAAGTGAGGAAGTAGAAAAGGAAAGTGTAAGGTGTTACTGGGAAGCGTGTTGGTAGAGGAAGGAGACTGAAGACTGCAGGTGATAGAAACATATGTATTGATGGTACTGGGGAAGATCAGAGGAGAGGGAAAGAGCAGGACAGGGATAAGGACAAGCGTTTGGGAGTCAGAAAAACCCCGAGCCTTGGAGGGTCTCTAACATCAGCAACAAGTCATTGCTCTTTTGATATTTTCTCTAACATCTTTATTGTTTTCTCTGTTCTGAAAGTTTTTTTTTTTTTTACTTTTTCTAATTACTTAGCCAACCCATTTCTTATCCTAAGATTTGATGAAAAATACAGCAAGAAGTGTGAAGAAGAAGAGGAAGAAGGAGGAGGAGTAGAAGAAGAAAAACTGTAAGAAGAAATATGGAAGTTAAAGTAATTACAGCCTGGGAACATTTAATATGGGTTCAAAAATCCTTCTATAATTCAATGGACCCAATGATATAATTGCTCTAAAATTTACTTTCTTAACACACGGAATCGCACACACACATTAAACTGCTATTTGTTGAAGAATGTAAAAAAAAGTTTCATATATTATAGGCCATCTAAAATAGTTTAAAATTTTTAAAGGAGTCAATTTCCATTATTTAGAAAGATAAATTATACGAAGCAGTTTAGTCTCCAATATTGCCAACCAAATAAAGTGTGAGGATATGGTTTAGGATAATGAAATATTTGCTGGAGGTGTGGCAGTGCACACTTGTAGGATGCAACTGGCTGTGTGCGTGTGGTTGGAGCTGGTGGCATCAGGGCCAAGCTGGCATATTCTGTGTGGCTGCAGCCTTGGTGCCCAGGAGCTTCTGTCCAGCCTCGCGGCTGGAACCCTGTGATTTCCTAAGCTATCCTGTACTCTTTTTTTTAAGTTTTTCTGTTTTTTAAGGAAATGAACTAGAATGGCTCATAGTTTTCACCTGTGAACCCAGGTAAACAAATTCTGGCAACCCAGGTTGCTAGAATTCTTGCCAACTGAAATAACTTTAAAGTTGGTTTGGTTTGTTACTAAATAATTTAACTGTTCTTGGGGCAAATGGACCCAATATTAACAGGGTTTTTTGTTTTTGTTTTTGTTTTTTGAGACAGAGTCTCTCTCTGTCACCCAGGCTGGAGCACAGTGGTACGATCTTGGCTCACTGCAACCTCCACCTCCCAGGCTCAAGCAATTCTCATGCCTCAGCCTCCTGAGTAGCTGGGATTACAGGCACGCACCATCACACTCAGCTAACTTTTGTATTTTTAGTAGAGATGGGTTTTATCCTGTTGGCCAGGTTGGTCTTGAACTCCTGACCTCAAGTGATCCACCCTTCTAGGCCTCCCAAAGTGCTGGGATTACAGGCATGAGCCACCGCGCCTGGTTGATCTGAACAGTTTTACCTTTTAATTTTCCTCTGTGGACTAGTAGGTGTAAGGAAAGATAATTACAGCTCGGAGCGCTGTCCTGACACTAGGCATTAGGGACTCCCAGTGAGGGGAGTAAGATGGGAGTCCTGTCTCCTGTAAGGAGTCTTTTCTCAAAAACTTCATCCTGGCATTGTTTTCCTTTCTTCAGTTTTACTCCTATTGTTTCTGCTAGGTGTGTTTCCTGGTCTCACATCTAAATTTTTAAAGGATGGTGACCACACCTGCCTCCCTCCCTCCTCATGGCCTCTGGCATGGTGCTAAGCCCGCTGTGGGCAGCTGATACTCAAAGCCATGCATTGGTTGATCTGGTAGAATATGGGCCTGGAAAAACAGGAAAGCTGGTGTATTTTAGCTGCTATATACTGTTTCCATGACATCAGCACACTGCTTATTTTCTCAATTTCACTGGTCACTGAACAACAAAGGATTCCCAAATGAAGCAGAGGCAGGGACCCAGCGATGTCAGTCAGGACAACCCAGGGGCAACTGCGCAGCCAGAGTTGGGCCACGCCAGGCTCTGAGGGCTCGCCTGGGTCACCCTGCACTGGCTGGAGGCCCCTGGCTCGCTCATCACTGTGGAAACTAAACGCTGCCATCTGTCTGCTGCATTGGGCTGTCGGGAGGGAAGCCAGATGGTGTCGGGGGGTGTGGACCCACGGGGAGAGGGAGAAAGACGCCAGGCGGCAGTGCGCTGCGGCCCCCTCCCCAGGGCTGATCCCCCTTGGCTGTGTGCCTGGAGCAGCGCCCGCTCCTGTGGATGGCGAAGAGGGCCTGCTGCCAGTCACAGGCGGACGTTCTGGGAGAGTGAAGGTCATCATTAGAATCTGAATCACCAGGAAATGGAGCAGAACTTGATGTGGCACATTCCAAAGGTTAAAAAAACAAACAAAAAACATACCTCGTTATTAATTTGAGTGGTTCTCCTCATAAACAAATTCACATGCTGACTCTTTGGGCAAAAGAAAGGCAAAGATTAAACAGGTGTAACCCAGCAGGATACCCACGCAGAACTAGATCTCCACTCAGCAACTCCATGCCACAGAAGGCCACTTTCGGAACCATGAGGATCCCTTCTGAGTTCTGCTTGACTCTGATGATAAATATGGAATTGAAAAAAATCAATCTATGAAAATTTTATTTGATCTCAGAAATCTTTCCCACCTTATTCATTAATGTGATTCTTTTGTTTCTTAGTCAATGCCACCTTCTTCTATAACTTTCTACCTAGAGGGGGAAAGCCCCAATATTTAGCCCCAACTCTGAATTTTACAAAGCATCTTCACATTTCTCTTGTCTCACATCACTACCCTTTGATATCACTGGGGAGGGACTTTTGCTATTTCCATGTTACAAATGGGTCACCCAGGCACCCGGAACTTGAGTAACTAACCCATGCCTGCAAAGCTCCCACCCAGAGTGGGGAACTGGAGCCAGACCACTGGACCCAAAACCGAGGCTTTGCGGAGGAGACTTTGAGTGAACCTGGCGGAGGAGACGTTTATCACTTCACAGCGGCTGAGTTGTCTCTACTTTATGAGGCTGCGAATACTTTCTGGCTTGTCGTCTAGGAATCTCTTAGCATCTTTTTACTAAGTTTAATATCACAGAGCTATAAGGCTTAGAAGACCTCAGAGGCCATTATAGCCAACCCCCAGACTCCTATTCTGCAGCCAAATTAGTGATAACGAGTTATATAATTCCATTAAAAGAACCAACCAACCATTTAGTACCTTCCTAAAAGCAGAGTTTTTCTTGAACATGGTGCTAACTAACCAATTTGACTGAAACCACCGGATATTTTGACATGGTAAAAAGCACATTGTGTAATAGAAATACAATGAGAGTCGCATGTGTGATTTACAATTTTATTGAGCCATATTAAAAAAGTAAAAAGGCACCCTCTCTTCTCGTGCAACACAGCACAGGGACCCCCGTAAAGAACATTTTACAATTTTCCCTTAATACCCAGGGAACGTGCACTAACTTGGTAAATACCTGCTTCGTGGAGAGCTGTCTTTCAGGATTCATACCCTCGGGACACTGTTGCAGACCTATTGGACTGAAAAAACGGGGGTGAAAGCAGGAATAAAAGACAAGAGACAAAAGAGTATATTTGGAAGAAGGGGTCGGGGGCACCTTGCCTTTAGTGGACAAGGGCCCTGAACTTTGCACAGCCCTCCATATTTATTAGGCAAAAGAGATAGTAAGAAAGTGGGGGTGATTGCTGGGTAATTGTCAGTCTGCCTTTTGGTTCACAGTAGGCTTGCATTTTTTGGACAATAGGGGCTAGATTGTTTAAGCAGATAACTTTAAGGAGCCCGGAGCTAGGAGTGATGTCTGTTAGCAAACCTTTTGGTGGCAGGGCAGTGTGAGTTTGCCCACATCCTGCATTCATGATAAACAGTCTGCTGTTTGATTATATAGCCTCCAGCGGAATGCCGAGTTGGTCACGTCCCACGGGCCTTCGGCTCCCTGTAGGACACCACCTCCTAGACGTTTGCCTACATTTGCTGACCTACACTCAGACACTCTGGCTGGTCTAGACACTCAGGGCCTTGACTCAGGCTCCCGCCAGAGGCCTCAGAAATCCACACCTCACTGATAGCTCCATAGCTCACCAGCAAACGTGGTGACTCGGTTTCCTTGGCAGCATCCTCCACCTTGGGAGGGGCTGTGGGAACCATACTGAAGAAACTGCAACTCAGAAGCATCGCTCCGTGCTGAGCACTGCCATTGAGAAGTGCACCTAAGCGGCCACCAGTGAATGACGACCACGCATGAATAGGAATGTTCTAGAGCAGAATGCGCATATGAAGGCTGAGGCCTGAGCCAGAAGCTGAACCTGGAAGCCACCCTGACGTGCTCCTCACCTTGGGGCAACGTCCACCTCCACGTTGTAGGGTGGGGGAGATGCCGCTGGTGCTGTGGACTGGGAGGCCAGCATGTGCGTGGCTATATATAGACACTCAGTCCCATCCACCTTTCTCATGCCCCTTCACTTTCCCGTCCCCTCTCCTCCTCTCACCTGCATGGTAACAACGATTGTGACACTTGGTTTTCTTAACTCAAGAAGTGCATGTGATTTATTTTTAAAATTCCCTCTAAAGAACGTTTTCTTGAATTGAAACTAATGATCAAATAGAAGCTAGGCCAGAGATGATGGCACCACCCTTTCTGCTTCCGTCCATTCCGCTCCCCTCCCCGTCCCCACCCACCTTCCTGCTCAGTGTGGGCTGGGGCAGGCAGCAGGGAGGACAACATGAAAAGGCAACGGCTAGGAGGAAAAGGCGGGAAACAGCGGGAAGGGAGGATGCCTCTCCACTCTTCCTGTGGTGACCTCCCACCTCACTTACAAAAATCACCACCGACATTTGGGAACCGTGCACGCTGACTCAAAGCAAAGCTCAGCTGACCATGAGGAGTCCCCTGGGAGCTGCTGCAGTGGTTGCCGTTGAGTCCATCCGTGCAGCTGGGCCGAGGCAGCTGGAGGTGGGCATGTGTGGGCGGTACGGCTGGATGGAGCCCACCAGCAACTGGGTGGAGGGGTCCGCAGCTCTCCCAGCTGCTGCCTAGCTGCTCCCTGCCCTGTTTTGAATTAGTGGTAGCAGAAAGAAATGGAGCAGTGACCCTCAGTGCCTGGATGCCTGGAAGTGCAATGCATCCGCTCCTTGTGCTGCAGGAGGTCAGAGCCAGCCAGGGGAGGTGACTGCCTGCTCGGTCTGCCAGTGTCCACACCGTGTCCAGAGAGGGCGTGGCTGGATCTGAGAAAAGTCTGGCACTGGCCAGACTGGGAGTGGCTCGGTCCTGCCTGGCAGGAGCATCCACAGACTGGCTGGCCAGGAGTGCAGGACAATTGCCCAGGTTCCGCCTGTTCCGCCACATTGGGCCCACTCGCAAGGGGCCATGGGCACCGCCTGCTTGGCCAGGTCTGCAGTGTAGAGGCCTGCAGGTGGCCAGTGACTGGCTGGGCTCCTGGACCTGCTGCCTTAGCTCTGGGAAGACCATAGATGCCTCCTCTTGGGAGGAGCCTTCTTGTGTGCCACTTGCTGGGAGATGTGGCCCACCTGCCTCGGTGCGGCTCCTGCAGGGTGGATCTCTGGCCACCCAGCCAGCTGAGAGGTGTCTCAGGGCTCACTTGGAAGTCTTGGCTTGTCTTGGTTCTCATTTCCTCTTTTGCCCTCAAACAGGCCACGGTTCATGACGCTGTCAGGAAAGGATTTTATCTCGATCATTTGCAGCAGCTTGGAGCTGAAGTCTGCACAGCACTGTGGAGATTGTCAGATCTGTGAGGACAAGGGAGGGCAGGCCTGGTGGTTTGGAGGAGCAGGGCCAAGCCAGAGTGAGGTGGCACAGGGCTGCAGGGGGCTCCTTTGAGGGGGACCCGAGGAAGTAGGAACAGGAAAGCCAGCTAAACTGCAACCTCAGTCCCCGTTGAAGACAGTAGGGTCTGAGGCAGCTGCACCCAGACGCCTCCAGAGTTCATGCTGGTCCAAAGGAGAGAGGCTGGGTGGAGACTCACCTGCTTCAGTCCCCACGGGCTGAGGGTTGTGGAGCTGTCAGCTCCCCTTGTTTGGGGGTCTGTCCCAGCCTGGGCAGCGAGCTTCCTCGGCCTAGGAGGAGCCCACAGGATGGACATGGGAGGAGTGCACTGCCCTTCATTTGCTCCAGCTGCTTGTCTCACTAGCTGTCAATTCACAGAGAGCAGTTTCCAGCAGAACAATTCCAGAAAAAACCAGAGCCCCCACCAGGGCCTGTGTGTTTCATTCCTGACCTGGGGAAGATAGCAGAAGCTTTCAGCAGCATCTATCCAAATAACCACCTATTTAACACGTGGACCTGTGAATGGCGGCCCTGGGTGCTTTGACCCGTTGTTTTTCTTCCTTCCTCTCCCCCATTTCCTTCCTGTCTTCTCCCTCAAAAACACACGTGTGTATAAACATTTGCACACCCCAGCCGCACCACCAACAGCTTCTCCATGGGCTGGAGTCTCTGCCTTGTTGAAATGATAATAATAAATGATAAAGCCAGGGTCATCTCTCTCATCTATCTCTATCTATCTATTAATTGATTATCTTTCTATCTATTGTCTATCTCTATTAATCTGTTATCTACCTACCTACCTACCTATCCACATCTACTGTCTATCTATACCTAAGTTCATTATCATCATTATCTACCATCTATCTGTCTCTGTTAATCTATTATCTAATTATCTCTCACTCGTCCATCCATCATCATGCTGACATTAGCTCTGGGACTCCTCAAGCCTATGTGTGATGATGAGTGATCGTCCAGCTGTTTGACGCTATGATTCTAGTGAATTTGCACTGGGCAACAAATGTTTGGATGAGCACATGAATAAATATTATTTATTTGCTAAGTGTTGTAGGGAGCCTGCCCTAAAGAATCTTACCCATGTGAAACCGGGACGTCCCACCCTCCCCTGGGCAGGGCTGTTATATGACAACTCTGCACAGGCCACTTCCCAGTGTGGCGGGAACCAGGGCCAGTCCCAAGCATGTGCACGTTCTCCAGGTTGCGTGCGAGGCTGCTGTGCTTGCAGGAGGGCTCTGAGGTGGCCGTGTGCCCGGACCTCTGCAGAGGCTGCGGTGACTGAGGGCTCAGCAGAGTCACCTTCCACTGTGCACAGGAAGGAATGTGCCCTGAGTGCTGAGCTAAAGAGGAATACAGGGAGGTTTTCACCCGCACGGAGCCCCTGCGCCACTACCATCATTAACAGATGTTTATTGAGCAGCAACTGTAATTCAGGCATTGTGTGCGTGACCGTAGCAAAACAACAGGGGAAGAAAGTCCATCGCCTCTCCCTTCCTGGAGCTTCCATATTGGTGAAGGAGATGGAAAGTAAAATGAAAAGCAAATATAAAATTACATATTTTACTATGTGCAATGAGAAAATAGAAAGTGTGCGGTGACCGAGAAAGGCAGGGAATGGCTACTTAGTGTCATCAAGCAAGAATTTCAGAAGAATGCATCAACCTGGGGCTTGTGAGAATTAAAGATAGTTTTCGAAGCACTGAAGTGAATGAATTAATTTAGGCATAGGGGAATGGGACAGCTAGAGGGTCTCAGAATCACACTCTGTGATGTGAGCAGGAGAAAATGACGATGACTCCCAGGATCTGCTTGGATCTTCTAGAATTTGAACAGAAACCCCAACAACACGTTTATTTTGGACTCTAAGATGCTGAATGTGAGGAGGACTTTGGATAGGCTCTTATCAAACACTATTTCAGGTACTATCATAAAAGAAAGGAAGCTGTGGCCTCCATTGAGGCAATAAAGCATCAATATTTCAGCAGTTATTCACACACTTGTTTACATTGAAACCTGCTCCATTGACAGGTGGTAGAATCATTGTCAGGCTGGACTGCCAGACGTTGGTGTTACCAGGTGTAGATTATCAAGGCCTATGCCCAGAGGCCCTGGAAAACTGTGACCAAGGATGAATTAAAGTGTTGTAGGGCAACACTTTAGGATGAATTAAAGTGTTGCCAACAGGGCAACATGCCTGACGTATTTCCAGAAACAGAAACAAAAGGGTCTGCCTAGCTAGGCCAGACCACAAAACCATCCTGTAGAAGCACATCAGCCTCAAACCACCACAGAAATGGAATTTGTACACCACACTTAGAAGAAGATATTCTTAAGGACTGTATTTCAGTGTTAAACTTTACAAGCTAGGGAGATTTAAAAAAAAATAATAATTCTCTGTCTTTCTTTCAGCACAATGCTTTAAAATCGTCCAGCTGGTTAGAAAAATGTCAGCATTGTCCTCACATGAAACATTGATCCACATGGGCACTGACACATTTCAGTTTCAATATTTGACATCAGATCAATCTTGTCTTCTCCTGCATTAGCAGCCCAATGTTCAGGCCTGCGGACTGGAGGATGCCGCACCTAGCTTTTTGCCATACAGGCTGACCATCCCTAATTTAAAAACCTGGAATCCCAAATGCCCTGACAGCTACAGCATTTAGAGCACTAACCTGAGGCCACAAGTGAAAAATTCCACACCTGACCTCATGTATTAGTCCGTTTTCATGTCGTTGATAAAAAAATACCTGAAACTGGGAAGAAACAGAGGTTTAATTGGACTTACAGTTCCACATGACCGGCGAGGCCTCAGAATCACAGTGGGAGGTGAAAGGCACTTCTTACATGGCAGCAGCAAGAGGAAAATGAGGAAGAAGCAAAAGCAGAAACCCCTGATAAACCCATCAGATCTCATGAGACTTATTCACTATTAGGAGAATAGCACAGGAAGGCCCAGCCCCCATGATTCAATTACCTCCCCCTCGGTCCCTCCCACAACACATGGGAATTCTGGGAGATACAATTCAAGTTGAGATTAGGGTGGGGACACAGCCAGACCATATCACCTCATGTGACAGGTTGCAGTCACAATGTAACCAAAATTTCGTTACATTTACAAACTATTAAAAAATTGTGTAAAATTACCTCAGACTATGTGTATATAAAGAATGAATTTATTTTGTGTTTCCACTCGGGTAGCATCTCCAAGATGTCTCATTATGTATATGCAAATATTCCAAAATATGAAAAAATAAAACATTCAGAACACTTCTGGTACCAGGCATTTCGAATACAGAGACTCCACTTGTACCAGCTCCGTTTCCCACGGCTTTTGCAAAATCTCTATGGCCTGGTGCTAAGGTACTTTTTGGGTTGAAAGCACTGCTTGTGTTGCTGATTCTGAAAGGGAGAGTAATCATTGATGGTGTCCCACAGCCGTGCCCAGCAACCTGTCAACCACAGGGAGGTTGAGAGAGAGAGAGCGGGTGGGTCCAGGCACGGCCACCCCTTCACTAGCAAGTGTGGATTCATCCCAAGAGCTGTCACCAGCACCCACCAGGAACTGATCAGGAGGGAACAAGTAGGACATGACTCTGTCCTCAAGGAACTTGGGGATAAATAACATATGCAATTAAGATGTAAGACAAAATATATTTGTATAAAGTGCGAAAACACAGGCACGTGACTCTCTGCCTTCAGAAGTGGGCGTGGCAGAGCTTGGTGCCTGGGAGTGGCCTGTGGAGGCTTCAGGGCTGCTGTGTGTTCAGATTGTTCACCTGGCTCTGATGACGAGGGTGAGCACAGGCTGTGAAAATTCATCAAGCTGATACTTAAAGTGTACTTTCTGTATGTATGTCCTATTTCCACAAAAAGGGAAAAGTGAAAAAAAATTAATGAGAAAGAAGGCTCGAGTTACAAAATCAGAAATTTCATCAGCTAGTTTACCTCTCTGCAGCCTCCTTCTCTGCCTGGGGCTTCCGCCAGAGTGGGCAGCACAGGAAGGTGCTGGATTCTAGGTGCCTTGCTGCACTCAGAAACTCCACATTTCACACAGTGGTCAGATGCCTGTGCAAAATAATGACGCAAGTTTATATTGCAAAAATGATGACCCCAGGCAAAATAAACTCTTGCTTAATCCCTACTTTTTCTGGCAGCCTCGTTTACTAAGGCACCAGGTGACAGTGGGGTGTGCTGCTGGCCGCCTACCTCACATGTGTCCCAGGCTCAGCTTGGATCCCCGGCTGCCCCTAGATCCCATGTGCTGCTGCCTGTACTGGGGCTGCTCCAGCATCTGCTTGGTGCACTGGTACCCAGGGCCAGAGGCTGGTTCAAATTCTGTTTCACTGTGATGTATTTTCCTTCAGCCCTTTGAAAACAAACGTTTCAAGAAGGAACTAAGATCATGCAGTGTTCCCAGCACTGGTTAATATTAGACTAACACCTGCCCCTTGGCACATTCGATTGAACTGTGTTGTGGGGGAGATACTGTCCTCGCTAAGTTCCCTGAGGACACAGCCATGTCCTTCTTGCTCAGTTCCTGGTGGGTGCTGGGTGACAGCTCATGGAATGAGTGCCGTGCATGCTGTGGTTGAAGGGCTGATGAAGGGGTGGCTATGCCGGGACCCACCTGCCCTCCCCTCTATCTCCCTGTGCCATGCAGGTGTGGTCAATGGGCTGATGGGCACGGCTGTGAGACCCCATCATTCCCCCAGCCCACATGACTCTGCTCTCCCAGCTCGACTGTTCACTTCAGACTTCCGTTATGGAAGGAGTTGCCAGATAGAGCAAGCAAAATATAGTGTGCCAGGTAAGTGTGCATTTACAATGACCATGGATTATTTTTTGGCATAATCTAATACATGGTAGTAGAGTAGGGTTGTATATAGTGTCATCTAAATCTACTATAAGTTAAGAAATTATTTGTGGTTGATTGAAGTTCAGGTGGACGCAGGTGCTCTGTATTTGCCTGCTGCATGCTAGGGTACTGCCTAGTACACTATGCTGGGTCAATGTGTTTGTGTCTTAAGGGAAGGGCAGCTTTTCATTGCTCAACTCCTTCACATTTTTTTAAGGGAGAGAGGACCGAAAAAACCCTTTATTCCCTCAAGTGAAATGTCTCACCCACTGCAATGGCAATAACTCAGAGGGTGAGTGGAATGGATGGAAACCCTTGAAGAGTAGATAAGAATTTAGGTGGAGGGTCTTTTGCTCTCTCAGGCAGGTTGGTGGATGCATGGGCTTTGGGCAGGTGCCTGAAGTGGGGTGCATGTCCTGAGTAAGAGAGGGTAGGGTGGGTGGTGGGGGGTAGGGGTGGATGGTGGGGAGCAGAGGTGGATGGTTGAGTGCAGGGGTGGACGATGGGGTATGGAGTGGATGGTGAGGGGTAAGGGTGGATGGTTGAGTGAGGTGTGGATGGTTGAGTACAGTGGTGATGGTGGCATGAGGGGTGAATGGCAGAAATGGATGGTGTGTTGTGGCGATGGATGATGGGGGTAGGG